GCTTTTTTGTTACGCCTGTCTCCATTTCGTTGCGAGGCCTGAACGTGAGTAATAATCGTTTCTCCATGAGCGTGAGAGAAAAGTGCGTTAATTAAAATCAAGTTTCAGCCTCTACAAGTAATATCTGCAACTCGATAGTGTGACTATCTGTTGATAGATGGCACCAGTATTGCATTTCACGAATTATGGCCATCTTCCATCCAATATATTTTTGAGAAATTTAGATAATTATTGCAGCGTTTGAGAATCCACATCGGATGCATCTGAGATGTAAAAAATCTTTGATCACGTGATTCAGTGTACGTAAATGTAATGGGACAGATGTGTCCGATGTGGATAAAAAAACGCTCGAGATGTAAAAAATGCATCCAAAGTGGATTCTCAAACGCGGCAAATCATTGTATAACAGAAGTAAAAGTTGGAAATGCTTTTGCCAGTTCTCCCACTTTATACACAAAAATTGACAGGTTGTCAGCGGATCTCACCGAAGTGGACACGATACATTGGCGTACAAAATTATTTTATAGATGTTAATAACAATTTCGAGTAAATAGTTTAATAAATTGTGAATAGCTGTTGAAATTTTGTAAAATTATAATTTGAATATTATAATACATGTTTAATATTTATTTATAATCCATAAATACATGCGATTGTCCGGTTCCGCCGATAACAATTTAAAATTACTTATTCTATGAAACGACACTGGCAGGTAAACATTACTGTGAAATTCTCGGAGCCGCCCGACGTGGTTTGACGTTTACCCCCTCTCTACCTACCAAAAGATTTTTCAACTTTTACTTTCTCTATACCTTCACTTAAAATCTCAAAATATCAAGAGGTAGGCTACCAGTTTAACATTTTGGATAAATATGTGTTGCCTAACATAGTAGTAAAAGAGTCAAAATGGCCGCGCCCAATGTTGGGCGTGTCAGACCTCTTTAAAAGTATGTGGTTTAGTGTCATGTTTAGTGTTTAGTCCAATTAGTGACAGTTTAACACGCTTAAATGTCATTTAAAAATACCCTAAAAAACTCCGCTTTTCTCCCGCTCCTGCCCCTGACTAACCGAACTCGCCTTCTGTGTGTCGGTTTGTTCGTTGGCTTGGTTTTGTATAACAAAAAAAACTTCGACACAAGCTGATTGGTCTATTCCCGATGACGTATACATTTCAAATTTTAAATTTCAATTGTGCTTAATTTAAAAACTTTTGGCTTTTTTAACGAATTGATTATTTAGAATAACTTAGTATAGCGATTAACTATTACAATATAATTTATAAAACAGCATATCTCACATGTGAACATGGCCCATTACTATGGGATACTACTATACGGGGTGGCTCGTCTGAGATGGAACACTATGTATATAGTGAGAATAGGTAATTGCCACATACTTAAATAGGTATACGGCGTAAAACCCTCTGCGCATCTTTACTGAGTGTTTAATAAAAGAAGATAGAAATGACCGCCATTTTTATATAAACAAACTGAAACTTATGCAACCAATTTATCTTTCCATCTGTCAAAAGTGTCAAATTTTAATGTGTGTCAATTTGGTTAAATTTTTTTGTGTTATTTTAGAATATTTTGATTGTGGATATTATTTTCTAAGTGTATAAACGTTTTATTTATTTTAACATTTGTGAATAGACTTTAATCCCAGTATAAGTTCTCTATACTGGGCTTTATTCAAGATGTCTTGTCTTGTAAGATCTTGCAAGAACATAAGGAAACTGTTGCCAATAGATTCAAATGTTACATTCTACAAGTAAGTAATAAGATTTAGCAAAAATAAAGGCTATGAAATAAGTGCCTTTATATTATTTTAGGGTTCCAAAACAAGCAGATCGTTCCTTATTATGGTTATCTGCCATATAGAGATTGGACAAAATTTCTTTTAAGTTGTTAGTACAATTCACTGCAGAATCAATAAGGACGACCCGTTCACTAAAAATTTGTAGCTTTTAGAAATTATACAAGAAGAAAGTAAATTGTTTAAAATAAAACAAATATGCAACCATCAATAATTTAATTTTAAAGTATCCTGGAAATTTTAATATTTGTAACTTCCTCTACTGTACTTTTGTCATTTAAAATTAGTATTTAGGTATTTAATCTATTATTTGTCGGCCTATTATTTATCAGCCTAACATGTATTTTTAAACATTAAAATATTTTTTTTTGTTGTAGAATAAAAATTTAATTCAGATATAATATTGTATTATTTCTTTTAAAAAATCTGTACAAAATGATGTATTTAAAAGTGAAAAGACGTAGACATCTGCAACCAAGTTTTCATATTGCTGTATTTTTGGTCACCTATGTACTAGTAATCTTGTATAAAAATGGCCGCCCCTTTGTTAAACAGGTCGGACGTCTCTCTTGCTCCGTATACCTATTATAAGTATGTGGTAATTGCTTGGTAGCTACAATGAAGTGGAGAGGGGTAGAAAGCCAATGTGCATATTGTATCAATAAAACAAGATGCGACTCTATGGGCGCCGCCATTTTTATTTCTCATCTCACTCGGGAGTATTATATTATTATATAATATATATATTATTATATATTATAATAACCATTTTCTGTTTCACATTGTTATTGTTCAATCCACAAGCTGGTGGATCAGACAATAACAAAGTGAAATAGAAAATGGTTGTTATAAATACTCCCGAGTAAGATGAAAAATAACCTGTCTTCGCCCATAGAGTCGCATCTCAAGCCTATTGACAAGCATTCTACCCCACTCCAGTTCATTGGGTAGCTATTACCACCGGTGTGAAGTTAGCAGTAAGTTTTTAGCAGTAAAAATAACCGAAAACACCCGATTGGGAAAATAGTGGCGTCCGGCATACAACTATTTTAATAATCTTGTCAATATGTATGTTACATTAATATCGAACAAATAATTAATATACATACCGTTGAAAATGTCCGATTTTGAGATTATATTTAAATTTCTCAAAAATATATTGGATGGAAGATGGCCATAATTCGTGAAATGCAATACTGGTGCCATCTATCAACAAATAGTCACACTATCGAGTTGCACATATTACTTGTAGAGGCTGAAACTTGATTTTAATTAACGCACTTTTCTCTCACGCTCATGGAGAAACGATTATTACTCACGTTCAGGCCTCGCAACGAAATGGAGACAGGTGTAACAAAAAAGCTACAAAAAAGATACAAAAAATGAGCCTGGTCCGAGCTGGTGCCGCTAAAAATATCCGCTAAGCTAGCGGATCCGCGCTTTTCTCAGGTTCAGTACAAGCTACAAAAGGGAGACTAGCGTAACAAAAAAGCTACAAAAAAGTTACGAAAAACTAGCTGGGTCTGAATCTGTGCCGCTACTATGGAATTTATGGAAATTCAAGCTAGCGGATCCGCTGTTTTTTCGGACCTGGGCTAAGCTACAAATTTGCAAATAGTGTAACAAAAAAGCTACAAAAAAGCTACAAAAAACCCGCCAGGTCTTGAATGGTGCCGCCACAGAGTGCCCGCTAGCTTGATATAGCTTCAGCCGAGGTATATATAGAATTTTTTTTACTACTACCATTAATGTATTAGCAATTTTAATTTTGACATAAGTAATTTCCTAACAATTTGTTAAATATTTCGAAATATCAAGCAGACTGGAGCGTGTTTCTAATCAGACTGGCTTTATTTATGTAAAAATTTGGCATGTGTCAAATTTTGGTATGATTCTAGGAAATATCCCATTGCATTTTTGATATTTTAATGACATGGATTTATTGTTATTAATTAATAATTTTTAAAGCCGGTGTTGAATTTCCTAGTTAATATATATTTTTACTATTAACACTGATATATATTATCATATTTGATTTGATTAGATTTTAATAAACCCAGCTTTAGTTATTTCCTACTTATTTTTCAAATATTTCAAAATATCAAGTAGTCTGGGAGTTTAGTTGTCAAATTAACAAAATGAAACTAATGAAATTTAGTTTCATTATTTACCTAGGTTTTTTTTTATTATCATTATTTACCTAGGGAGAGAAATATTACTTCTCATTAGAGGAATGGAGTAAATAATGGTGATTTCTCATGTTAGTAGTAAAAAAAGTACATTATTTGATCGATAGTTTTAAGCAAAACAGTTTTTTCGTGTTTCCTCGAAACTACTTCGTTTGCACTTGGCGGGTTTTGCATTTAGACGGCTCATATTAAACTGGAAGAAAATCACTTTAAAATGATTTTTGATTAATACGCAGCTGAAACAAATGTTCCAATAATAATAATTATTAAAATTTCGCGTTATTAATAAAAAATAATATAAATTATCGTAGTACGCCCGTGGGAAACGTGACGTATTGATGTCGCGTTTGACAATCCACATCGGATGCATCCTGCATCTGAGATGTAGTAAATCTTTGTTCACGTGATTCAGTATACGTAAATGTAATGGGACAGATGTGTCCGATGTGGATAAAAAAAACGCTAGAGATGTAAAAAAATGCATCGGATGTGGATTCTCAAACGCGGCAAATGTAATGGGACAGATGTGAAGTGTTCTGTGCAGATGTGTCCGATGATGGAGTATGGAGTTCACTGGTCCGATATGAATAAAAAAACGCTCGAGATGTATAAAATGCATCCGATATCCGATGCAATGAACAGTGGGGTAGAATGCTTGTCAATAGGCTTGAGATGCGACTCTATGGGCGAAGTCAGGTAAATTTTCATCTCACTCGGGAGTATTTATAACAACCATTTTCTATTTCACTTTATTATTGTCTGATCCATCAGCTTGTAGATTGAACAATAACAATGTGAAAGTTGTGAAACAGAAAATGGTTATTATAAATACTCCTGAGTGAGATGAGAAATAAAAATGGCTGCGCCCATAGAGTCGCATCTTGTTCTATTGATACATTATGCACATTGGCTTTCTACCCCACTCCCGTTCATTGATCCGATGTGGATTCTTTGAATAAAAAAACACACCTGTCAATCACAATTTGACATCTTGACGTGTGAAGGATATTGACAATGACAGTGAAGTTCCTATTGTTTTGTGGTTATTTTCATTTTTAATGTAAAATGTTCATTTTTCTCAAAATTGAGTCGTGATCATAATGTGATTATTACGGTTTTGCTTTCTAAAATATGAACAGTTCATAATTACAACCATTTATTTGTTTATTAAAATAGAACCATAAGTTTACTAGTGTTGTCATATTTTTGAATAAACTATGGAAGAAATTAATTCTCTAACTCCAAATTCAATGTTGGAAATTTTAGAAAATGGGTCATATCACCTTACAAATACTTTTATAACTACGAGGGATGTGATTAATAAAATATCAGAATTTTCCAACTTCTTCAGTAGTACAGGAAGAATCGCTCTTATAAATGCCGATCCACAAGAAGCACAAGAACTTGTATTTTTATTTTTTAATCTGAAAAAGAATATCAAATCAGCTATATCCGAGCTAGGTAAAGGTTATATTAAGAAGGTTCAGACGTTTTTATGCCCAGATTGTGAAGAAACAATAACAATTGTACCTGGTACTAATATTTGGGATAGTCTTCAAAACCATGAACATTTTGAAAGCTTATTTTCCAATCTTTTGGCTGGCAATTTGCAAGTTTTACCTCTACAGAGCGATTCTTCAGATGAAATGGAATCTGTTCCTCATAATAATAATTTGCATAATGGCAAAATCAGTAATGAGCCCACAGATAGTGGCATTGAACAGTCAGAAGAGCAGAATGAAGATTCAAATACTCCTGAAGAACTTCCTCTAGGAGATAACACTTTTAGGTTTAATTTTAAATTAAAATATGATCCACTAGTTGAAAGTGTCATCTACCCTGATAGTTTTACTTCAATGAGTAAATATGACCAATGCCCTTTTATTTGTGTACAGAAAAATAGCCCCTACAGGGCTATATGTCTTTTATGTTGCTGTGACTTATTATCTACTAAAAGGATTTCCAAAAAACAATGTTTAGATCATGTTTTGGGAAACAGGCATATGAGAGCTTCATGTAATCCTGTTAATATCGAAAATGTACGTAATTTCCACGAGGTGTTCTGGAATTTTGATGTCCATTATCAAGCTCATCAGGTAAAATGTTTAATTAATAAATTGCAGAATGTACTTTAACTATAAATATTTTACTATTAGGGATCGACCAATATGATTTTTTATGGCCGATACCAATATATGAATACTGATATATCAGCCATACATTTTTATTATGAATATTTCACTATAAAACTTGACTGATTTTGCCCCTTTTACAAAAATTGCTAAGAAATCAAATCAGGTAAACCAAGAGTTGGGACAATAGGCATTTTCATCACAATTTTTTTTTACCTTTTTTTTTTTTTTTTTAACAAGCATATTAAAATGTCCATGTGAAAAAATTGTAATCGATAAATATTAATTTAAGTATATTCATTTAAAAAAAGGAAAAAATAAATAAAATAAAAAAAACATCTTTATTGGTAATCGTACAACTTTTACACAATTACCAAATGATCATCAACTGGAGTCCTTCAGCCTATTATGTTAAATTTGTTGTATTACGTTAATGTTTGTTTTTAAATATAAATAATTGTTCTAAAAAAAAATACCAATTTGCTAGCAAATAAAAAAAAATTACGTATAATTTTGTATCAAATGAATGTTCTTAAGTATATTTCTATATTGTGCAATGAGCTTCCAGAGAGTTCTTTGTGGAGTTCTTCTACACATGGTCTGTATTGCTAGGATATTTTCTTGGTGTTTGAAGTATTTTCCTGACATGCTGGCGAGTCTTCTTTCTATATGTTGAGTTTTTGTTTTCTCATATATCGTTTGACGGAGTAAAGTAATAAGTGTCTAAATTAAAAAATACATTTTTGCAATTTGCTTGGAAATAAAAAATTTACATTAAATTAGAGAAAATATCAAAAATGGAGATTCTTTTATTTGGTGGGCACAAAAATTAGACATTTTTCTACTATTATAAATATAAATGTTTAATAATATACTTAGCATCCCCCCAAGTAGTGTGGCTGGTAACAGCAATTCTCTTCAGCTGGTATTGTATAGGTGATTCATTAAAGGTGAAAATCGGTCATATCTTGATCGCAAAAAGAGGTCGATTTTTATTTCAAGGGAGGCACTTTTCTGTAATAAGGACCACAACAACATTATTATTACTACTAAGTTGTAAGTTTAACCCAATTCTATTTTTATAAGTTAACCTGTCCTTCTTTGAAATACACTTTCAATAATAATGTATATTATTGATTTTAAAACTAAAAAAGGTTTATTTTTATTTGTTTTCTTTTCGCAACTGGTGACATAATGAATTTTTTCGAAACCAGTTTCATAATGTTCAACATTATGCAACTGGTTGCGTAAAGTAGATCATTTTGTCACTTGCAGCGATTACGAAAAATGTCACTTTATATGTCAAAATTAGAAAAAAAAATTTTTTCTTAAATTCAATTTTTATTAAGATATAACATTAGTTTTATTTCATATTTCAATAATATTTATTTAATAGATGACGTGTTCTTGCCGCCGTAGGAATTCAATGTACTTCATTTTATTCCTATTTGATATAAAGCCTAAAAATTATAAATGGGATTAATATGCCATAAAACAACTATTTTCTACTCTTTTTATTACGAATTAAATACGTAATTACCTACCTGGATTTTGGTGCTAAGTATTGGTTTTTGTCATTTTGATAAAGCAAGGCTTATCCGCGGAATCGCGCATTTTGAAAGACCTAAAAAACATATTTGTAGGTCTTGTTATGTAATGATTTATTATTTTTTTCAATTATACTAATGTATTGAGTCACTAATACTAAAAATTATATATGGATTTTCCTGCTAAATATTGGTTTTTGTCATTATGATAAAGTAAGGTTTAACCGCCGAATCGCACATTTTTAAAGACCTAAACAACGTATTTAGAGGTATTGCTATTTAATAATTTATTATTTATTTAAATTATAATAATGTATTGAATTATTCATACTAAAAATTATACCTGGATTTTCGTGATAAATATTGGTTTTTGTCAGTTTATTAAAGCAAACCTTATCCGCGGAATCGCGCATTTTTAAAGACCTAAAAAACATATTTAGAGGTCTTGCTATGTAATGATTTATTGCGTTTTTGAATGTTACTAATATATTGAATCATTCGTACTAAAAATTATATCTGGAATTTCGTGCAAAATATTGGTTTTTGATATTTTGATGTATTTCTGCGAAAACTCGCATTTTTAAAGAACTAAAGTATGTATTTAGAGGTCTTGCTATTTGATGATTTTTTATTTTTTTTTATTGATACTTGTTTATTGAATTTTTGGTATAAAAATTGTATTAGGAATCTCGTGTTAAATGTTTGTTTTTGTTGGTTTTATTGAAAAGCTTGACTATAGATGTCTTGCTAAACCTAATGAATATTTGGTATAAAATTTATTTGTATTTATAATCGCATTGTAAATGTGTTTCATTCCCGTCTTTCTGTAAGATTATTTTTTTTTTATAATAATAATAATAATAATGTTTATTTAGTTAAAGAACATTACAATAATTATATAAGACAGTATAGACAAAAAAATACATTTAACTAAACAAACCTAAATGATATAATGACAGTAAACTTACTACAAAGGGTATATGATGTACATATAATATAAAATAATACAAATTTTTTGATCCGTGCAATCCATTAAGACCTTCAAGGTTGAGCATCTTGTTTTAACTAATTATTCAAAATGAATTAATCCATTTTTTTTTAATAAATACACTAATTTTTATTTATTTTTAAACTTTCATGATAATAATGTCCACCTAAACAGAAGATTTTGCCGAATAAAAATATCGCAACATTAGACCGCCGCGCGGTTTGTCTGCTAATTTGTCTGCTAGCTTCAGCCTCATCTCTTTCGTCTGCAGGTTCTAGGAAAAGCAGGACGTGAATTTGGAGTGTTTGGTTTTATAATGCGTTATGTATATAGCTCGCCAAAATTTGCAAAATATCTGTTAAATATATTTGCCACATTATTTTTTATCTTTTACTGTGCATCACTATGTTGTTTGAAGAACATGCCAGTACTTTTTATGATTTTAAATAATTTTAACTAATTTAAAATATAAAATTTGATTATTACATTTTACATTTTCTTATAAAGACAGTTCAGATCTAAAACAATACATGCTATCCCATTACTGGTAGAGGTTACCATGCGACCAATCGTAGATCGCCGACCAGGTTACTCTCTTTATTCCTCTTACGGCCAAATTTACTCGTAATTAAACGTCTCATCTTTATTTTGCTTGATTTGTTGATTTACTTACTGTACACCCTACCGAATGAAAATTTTTTTTTTCGTCCCGATCCCACGCACTCGATTTTATCTACTCTTTTTTTAAATATATTACGCCCAACACAAACGGAACAATAATACGCAATTTATTTTGATTGAATGCAAGGTATTTTTAGGGTTGTTGCAGTATTGCCAATACACTTATACAAACGTCTACATTTTGAAAAATTTAAATTTTTGATTCACTGCAACTGGAAAGAAAGGGCCCCTTCCGTCACTGTGGTCCTTTGCGGTAGTTGTGCTACGCCACTGCCATGGCACAAATTTGCATACTTCAATATCTCAATATTCAAGGATTTTTTTTTTAATTTGATTACATTACAAGGTTTATAAACCTTTTACATGAAAACACTCAAAATTTAATTAGAAAATATTAATAACAAAATTATAACATTAATTTTTCCATTATCACTATAAAAAGAACATGGCTTAAGATTTCCCTCATGTATTTTCTTGTTTTTGAATATTTTTTTACTACACTGAAAATTCAAACACATTTAAGAACAACAATATTTAGGGCAGTGATTAGAGTTGACAGACGTCACACATTTGGCGTATTTGCCACGCTTTTTGACTTGCTTGTACGCTTTTTATGCAACTGCCACGCTTTTTAAAAGCCGCAGAGGAACAGGATTTATACAAAAATAGACAAATGTCCAGGTAAAAGACCCTCGTTTTTACGAAAAAGAAGCTGAGGACCTTTTTTTATATAAAAATGATCTATCGTCACGCTTTTCACTTTCGGAAATCTGGCAACCCTAGCAGTGATACATATTTTATTATTTATGATGCTATTTAACAATTTAAAATTGTCAATATGTTACCAAATAAGTCCCTCACTGGATAGTAAAATATTCAACAATATTAACATGTCCATCCAGAGTGTTTCAAGTGGTCCGTTTAGCTAACATTATGATAACTTGGCTAGTAAATCATTAAACACAAGATTAAACTTTTGTTTATTTTTTTAAGACATGCCACATACATTAGTCATTGCAACTGCCACCCAAACTTTCCAGCCAGCCAATCAGTTCAGTCTCCTTGTTGGCATTATCAAGTTTCCTATCACAGACAACTACAATATTGCTTTATTTTATTACGTTTTGAAAATAATAATTTTTAGTTTAGGGCAGTTAAAAACATCAAACAATACTTTTAGGTGTATTTTCAACCAAATAATACTTTAGGACTTCATTGTAAGCTGTGCAATGCTCTCATTCCAAATCAATTTGTCAAGGAACATATACAGGGTGATTATCATAAGAATCTTGTTTTGAAAATGTTTTACCAAAAATGTTTGGATTTTTATCTGTTGGATGTACAAGTGGGTTGTTACGGGATTAAAGCAGATAACCCTGTTGAGTCTCCCAAGAAAGAAAAAATGGAACGAAAACGTGAAGAAAAAGGTGAGAGAAGACAAAGGACAGCGTCAAATCCAAGCACTTCTAAAGGTAAGATGTATATCTAAGAAATTATCATCATATTGTTTTTTTTTTTAAATATGTTTAGAACAAGTAAATTTCTAGAAACAGCTATCTAATCTAGGAAATAATTATTTTTGTTAAAAACAAGCACATTTATTGTACATTTTAATCTTTATAGAAACTAAACAAAGTGCAATTAAGAAAATGAAATTTCTAATCTTTATCGGTAGATAAAAACAAATTGATGAGTTATATCAATATTTTAAAAATATTTGGATAACTAATATTAAGCCTGTCATAATGAATATATTTATCTAAGGCATAATAAATAAATACCTTTATCATTTTTTTCTGTCGACTTTGTCTTTATGTTTCATTAATATATAGATAATAATTTATTAATAAACTCTATCAAATATTTTTTACATATTCATGAGTTCCTGAATCAGATCAACAGGAACAGCAAAAGACGCGACATACGCCAACTTGAAACACGAGGTAGAAAACGATTGATGCGGGTTTGTCAAATTTATTAGTAGAATAGAGTAATTTATTGACCTTCATTACATAAAAAGCTACACAAAGCAAGTCGTAAATATATGGGGTACCAAGTTATTTTCTTTGAAACAAATGAATATAATTATGAAATTGTAGGGTGATGAATGGGACTGTATTGCATTATTATTGTTTTATTCCGATCCTATACACACAGGGTAGCGACAAGGTATTTTTGTAGAGGATTATACACGGTAGTGGACTGAATGAATAATGGTTACCAGCGAGCGATTGTCCCGCTCTGCAGCCCCATTTTGTTCTGGCATATGCGGCATAGTTTTACGATGTTGTAACCCTACTGCACCTGTGATTTTCTTCATTTTTTGATTACTAAATTCGCTATCATTGTCTGTTAATAATTGTTTAACTTTAACAGGAACTTTTACTTCCATCAAAAAATTTTCTATTCTTCGTACTTCTGACTTTTCTTTTAAGAAATATAAAGTTTTAAATTTAGTAAAATCGCCTTTTAAACAAAGAAAATAACGAGCTCCACCCAGAGACTTCTCAGGCATGGGTTCGCAAATATCTGCATGTATTAGATCTCCTGGTTTAAGTCCCCTGGACTGACCTGTACCAAAACTTAATTTATGCTGCTTCCCATACATGCAAAATTCACAAAAATGTTCATCCAGTGGAATGTCAATACTTATAGACTTTTCACAAAACTCTGAACATAACGCATATTTTTAAACGCTCATGCCAAACCTGAAGAGTATTTTTTCAGTCAGGTGTACCTCCATTACTGCTTTCGGTAGCAAGACTTCAATAAACATTAAATAAAGGCCATTTTTCCTCTCTCCAACAGCTACTACCCTACCGTTTTTTTTAGAACAAGTAGTTTTAGTGAGACTGGAAGTCATTCCTTTATCGACGATACATGTAATTGAGAAAAGGTTACGGCTGACCTCGGGAACATACCAAACGCCTTGGAGGTAGTTTTGGATCCATTGACCGTTAATATACATTTTTACGTCTAAATTTCCTTTTCCAAGTGCCTGGATGAAAAACGTCCAAAGGATGCATCATTCTTTTCGGCTTATCATATGCTGTATTGCCTCTGAATCTGCTAACCACAAATCATTTTCATCAGATTGTGAAAAATTCGAGACGCCCACAAAAGCCGAACCAGAAGAGGTATCTCCAGTTCCTTTGTTAATTTTCTCATCCTTCTTGGGACAGTCACGTTTTACGTGTCCTCTCTTACCACACTGGTAGCAGTCTACCCTTTTCTTCTATCAGCATCATTGCCTTGATTATGTGAAGATGACTTCTTTAACTTGGCAATTAAGGCTGTATTTTCAAACGTATTAAGAATTTCAACTCCTTTCTCTTGTATTCGCAGTTCCACAGTACATAATCTTTCACAAATAAAACTATTGTACGTTGATCGTTTGCTACAGACTCCCATGCATTTGTAAAATCGAAATATTCTGCAGGCAAGGTATTCAAAACTCTGTTTAAAAATAACGAGTCGGGTAGTTTAACTTTGTCTTCCCGCCAGGTTTCACCTTACAATTCTAACCATAACTTCTCGAGTTTGGCAATATATCTAGCTACAGTGTCTTGAGGATCTTTTTCCCGAACACTAAAGAACTGAATAAAGAGACGATTCTGTCTTTGTTCAGTTCTTTGTTCATAGGTACCTTATCCCACATCGTTTGCTTTGCTGCACATGTTAACTAATTGCCGTACCTGACGGCTTAAGCTCGGCACAATTAAATTCTGAGCAGTATATTCAATTTTATCTGCGGAGGAGAGAGCTTTTCGATATTCTGCCTTTTGAATTTCAGTTGCAGTCGGTGCCAAATATTCTGAATACTCCCAAAGTAGCATTAACTACTTGCATAACATCGTGACTCTGTAACTAACTGAATTCTTATTTGGAACTTCCAGTCCATCCAATTAGACTGCCCTTCAAGTTTATCAATAATAACTCTTGAAAGTTCCATACTACAACGTATAAACAAGATACTGCTTCAAATATTAAAAAACTGACTTTGCAAGACTAACCTATTGCATACACAGCATACCTGGGCTCATAACCTGTAGAGGATTATACACGGTAGTGAACTAAATGGATAATGGTCTGCAACTTGAATTAAAAGGTTTTATTATTCAAAAAGTGACATCAATGAAAAATTAAAAATACAATGGCAATCAAAAAACTCAAAATAAAAAAAAATAATGCCGAATAACGATAAGGGTAAGGGGTGGTCCCATATGTTCGTGTTTATTTTTTTCATCAATTTGAGGGTGATCAATAATAGGACTGTATTACATTAGTAATGTGATACTTTTTCTAGTATTCTTGAAAATAGGAAAACATAAGCTTTTCTCTGTCATGTACCTCGACCTACATTGATATTAAAAAAAAAACAAGTTGGCGGTGGTACATTAAACACTGAAGTAACATAAATAAGACTTGTCCTCTAAAAAATGCAGAATACAATCCTATACAATACAATTTGCCAGAGTTTTTCGCTATCCTAAATGTAAAATGTAACAATAATTGCATACTCATTGACCGTATATGTCCAAATAGTCCGTTCTCAATACAGCTACTCGTACTTTATGACTTTCGATAAAATTTATTTCAATATTCCTCTTGCGTAAAATTTCAAAAGAGTATATATATAATTTAAGAACTTGTGCACTCGGATCGTTTTTTACAGTATTTATATGTGGCAACGTCTCAAAATGCTTCGAATATAATGTATTAAGATCCAAGTGATCACTGCAAAAACCCGGAATGCTTGCTCTTATATTTACTGCACATATCGTCGCCTTTCTCACAAAGTGACCTAACCAACAAAATTGCCAAAATTGAGTTAGTCCGTATTTAAGTTTGTTTTAACTTGGGCTTGGACCTCACAAAGTGGCATAAGTGTATCTTACTTAGTTTAGGCAACACACCATACTCGTGGAAGCGTCCTATCTGCAAACCCAAATAATATTTTCTCACAAACAGACCTAACTGAAGGTAGGTCTCTTTGTGAGTAAACATTCTCGCTACATAGTAGTATAAGCGAGCGTTCTAACTGAACAGTGTACCTATTTGTGGTTTTCATCCTAACCAAACATTTAATGTAAACAGTCCTTACTGAAATAGTAGTGATATAATTGCTGAAGAATATCCTTATACTCCGATGGGTGTTATGGGCAGAACAAAAATACCTTAGTAGCAGCTAAGTTACTTTACTCTGTAAAAACATTTTTCAACATTCAACAAATATCCTTAAGATTCGTTAAAATGAATCATGGACAGAGTGAAGATGACTCTGTCCACAGTGCTACTCATATTGGTTTATTGGGAGCTGGAGATCTTTTTGTACCTACACAACTTTGTCCAGTTTTTCGCTTGGCCAAGAGGCGTCAACCTTATATAGTAATGCCAATGAAGTTTATACATTTTATTGCCTTTAAAAAACTTTCACAAGAATTAAGAATATTGTCTGTACGTAAAAGTATAAGTGGACAGATGTTATGAAAATAATGGTAAGAAAAGACATGCCCACTAAAATATTTTTTAAAACTAGGCACCTAGATAAGGATTACGATACTATTGAGCTAAAGAGACTGATGGAAAATAATATACAACATATTCAACTTGAACAACTTAATAAATAACCAATTAAGCTGACAAAAAAAAGTACTCCGATTTGATTTCACTGCGTCAGGGCTCAATTCCTGTAGTGCGAATACCTTTATTTCAAACATATTTTTAAAATTTACCTCATGAAATGGAATAAACATTGTTTTACTTTTTTTATATATGTTTATACTGTATTTTTTGCAATAAAAGTGTTTTCCGTTTTTTGTGGCAATAACATGCATTTATTTTTGGTTCTATCTGACATCCATTGCTTTAATATTCTCACAAAGTGACCTATCTGCATTTTTAATTTTTTTAAAGAAAACATGACACATTAATGAAATTATAAACATATCACATAAAAGCCTAAGGGTTTAGTACTTTAAATTAAAATTTATAACCCCTTAGTACATACGGTTTACAAATTATGTACAATGAAGCAACACCATTTTTATATTTTTACTTCTCCTGTAAAATTATTGCAAAAAACGCTCCATCAAAAAACTAAAATGCCCTTCATTATCGGTGTATTACCAGAATGTTGGTGGCATTCGTACTAGGTTTGTTGAAATACGTACCGCAATTGCCCAATGTGAATATGATGTTATTGTTTTGGTGGAGTCGTGGCTGACTGATAATTTCAAGGATAATGAACTCTGCTTTAGCGGTTACAGGGTCTTCAGAGCACACAGGAATATACATACTAGCTCAAGAACCAGAGGTGGTGGTGTCTTGATTTTAGTTAAAAATAAATATAAAACATCACATCTTACTACGCAGTTTATTAATGTTGAACATTTATTTGTTTCATTGTCGATCAATAATGAAACAATTATTTTTGGCGCTGTCTACATTCCACCAGGGTTAAATCATTATG